CCCAGCCCAGCCTTTTCCCTCAAGACTACTGTGGAGGGTGACAAGGTGAAGGACTTGGAAGAGATTCCTCCTCCTTGGCCAGCCCTTGCTGGCATCTCCTCGCTTTAGGCCCTCCCCAGGGTTGAGCTGTGTGTCTGAGGACACCCAAGGTGGGCCACAAGAGGGCCGGAAGCATTTCCCCCACAAGGGGAAGGCCTTTGAAGACAACTGCAGGTGTCAGAGAGCACCTTCTGCCTGAGGGAGCAGGCTCTTGGGGCAGCTGAGTTCTGGGGGTGATTGTCCCTGAAGATGTTCACCACCTTTAGAACCCTCCTGTTCTTCCCTGTCCTGTAAGTGGGCTGGCTGGAAGTCACCATGCAGACCTGTACCTCTTTGATGCTTTTTTTTGCAGTTTTTGAACCCACCACCTATGGCATATGGGGCTGGCACTCTACTCCTTTGAGCTACAGGCGCCGCCACCGCCCTCTCTTTGATGCTTTTAAGTCTATGCCAATCTGATCATTTACCATATAGAATTTGAGGTTCCAAGCGATGCTTTGCCACCAGAAGTTCTGTTGCCTCTGTGTCTGGAAGAAGCAGACAGGGATGGGAAAGAAGTCACTGGAAGGCCGGTTTATTTCAGTGTCGCCTCCTTTTCCCTATTTCTCATCCCCGTCAGAGGCAGAGGCTGTGATGCTGGGAAACTGCCCCCTGCCTGGGCTCCAGGCCTGTCTCCTGGCCCATTTGTTCCATCAGGCCCTCGAGATCCTTCAGGGACCTTTTAAAAGTATTTGATATACATAGAAATTCTATTAACTTTGAAATACTAAAAGAAAACTATAAATCTAACATGGTCGAGTGACTCAAATATCTACATACTGTAATAAAATCCATAATTCTTTCTGTACATTCCTGGAATACACAGGGCTCTGGAAAGAAAGCTTTTCAACAACCCAGTTGGTGGCACAATGTCACCTGCTGTGAAGTGGAGCTATTTATAGTCTTTATTTATCCCATTTAGTATAAAGTAAATACCGAGGGTGCCCAAAAGTGTACACACATTTTTAGAGAAGACAATACTGCATTAAAATTGTAATATAGCTACAAAAATAAGTGTTTTATGGTTTATCTGGAAATAATATGAAAAATATTCCTGTTATTTTTGATGAAGAAAATCAATGTTGTATAGTTTTTTTTTGTATTATTGAATGGTAACTGTGTACATTGATGCACTTTGGGTGTACAGTGTAGTGTTTTCACACCCAATCAAAGACACTTCCATCAAACTGGTTAACATAGCCTTCATGTAACTTTCTTAGTTATTGTGTTAAAACATTCGTATTCTACTCATAATGTTGTATAGTTTATTTCAATCTAAATAAAAGATGAGTGTGGTTATAAAAATAAAATCGTAATAATATATACTGATAACTAAAGTTCAATACAAGTAATTACATATGTAATTGAAGAAGTTAAATGTACAAATTTAAGATAGTTATTTTTCCTTTCTTAAAATGTGTACATATATCCATTTTTCGGCACCCTCTGTATTTGCATATGTTTGCTGAAGAAATATCACTTTGTTTGAATAAAGTATGCTTCACAGACCAGTCAATTGTATAAATTTTTCTCCAGGGACCAAAGGCTGCAGACAAAGGCAGGTCGATACCCTGCTGTTAATTTTCAACTAGTGCCATGATCATGTCCAGGACAGACAGTAGTCACAGCAAGGCAATGGTGTCCCTCTGCATCTCCTCCCCAGACAGTGAGATCTCACGGCCCCGGCCAGCAGTGAGGAGGCTCACTGGACT